AAGTCGAAAAAGTAAAACATTGACACGGACGACGACGACGGACAATCACTCATATGATAAGCTCCGCTCGACAAAGACGACAGCGGAGCTAAAAAGTATGATCAACATGACAATACACCAAAAATGGTTACAATACACCAAAAATGGTTACAATACACCAAAAATGGTCACAATACACCAAAAATGATTACAATACACCAAAAATGGTTACAATACACCAAAAATGGTTACAATACACCAAAAATGGTTACAATACACCAAAAATGATTACAATACACCAAAAATGGTTACAATACACCAAAAATGGTTACAATACACCAAAAATGGTTACAATACACCAAAAATGGTTACAATACACCAAAAATGGTTACAATACACCAAAAATGGACCACTACCAGATGTGAATACCAACCTTCTGTCGTTTGAGTATGTCAATAAGTTTTAATTGTTTCTTGAAACCAGCCATCAATTCGGCTTTTTGCTTCTCTAGCCTTTTATTTTCTAACTGAAGTTGTTCAATTCTTCGTTTATCTTGATCCATGGTATCCTATCAAAACACACAATGTATTTTGTCATTTTTTTTGTTTTTTATAAGAGAAAATTTTGTAGCAGTGAGCATGGGATTAACACAGATACTCACAGAGACTAATGACTATCTATCTATCTATCTATCTATCTATCTATCTATCTATCTATCTATCTCATTCCTACATAATTTCACGAAAATCACAAAAATGGTGATTCTTGGAGGCCTAATAGATTTGCAGTAACTGCATAAGCCAGTTGAATGACATAGTTGGATCAAGAATAGGGTACTGATACTCCCAAAGACATCAATGTCGTTAATGACCCCAAAACCAGGATTGGGCATGATGTGGTAAGCTGCGTTGTTTGTGCATTGACACATCAGTGTAGCCTAAAAGAGCAAGGTCAAAATATGACTTTTCCTCCCAAGTAAAACTGAGCAGGAGATTATAGTTGGAGAGATCAATGCCAAGTTGGCAATATGCTCTGCTGAGGTTGCATTTCTAGGGAAGGCAGCCAAGGCTGAGTGTAAGAATACAGTCAATCTTGGAGTTGACAGTGAGATAATTAGGTCAAACAATTCAGTGGATAAGGATACTGTTGTTGTCTGGAAAGCCTAAACCCATCAAAACACAAAGCGATAAAATCTTTCTTGTCAATTATCATCAATTGCGAAGTGACAAGTTGATCAATTTCATCACTGGAGGTCACAATTTACTTGAAAGAAAAAACTATTCAAATATACAAGGTTGCTACTCACTTTGGAACCTTGTCTTGATTTGTGAAGTTGTGATTTTAATTTCTCAATCTCTTCCAATGCACGGTTCAATCTTACTTCTGTTGCTCCTTGTGTAGCCGTGGCTTGTTTCTGTCCTCTCTTCAATGCATCTAATTCCTGTAAACAAAGATGAATGGTGTGGTTCAGACTTACCCTACTCAAATCGACTAAGTATCCAGTGTACTCATCTTCAAAATACCAAGCACCCTCTAACAAAATGAAAATTTTGCTCAGGTCTGGAGGCTTATTTTATGTCGAGTAACAAGTGTGTTCTCATTGATTTACAAGCACACCACCAAGTTTACACCAATATAGCTTGTTATATTGACCAAGCCAAGATTTATGGACATGAGCAGCAAAATCTGTTAATAAACATGGTAGATTAGATGTACAGCATGCATTCGGAATGTAGTAGTAGATAAGCATGCATTCGGAATGTAGTAGTAGATAAGCATGCATTCTGAATGTAGTAGTAGATAAGCATGCATTCTGAATGTAATAGTAGATAAGCATGTATTCTGAATGTAGTAGTAGATAAGCATGCATTCTGAATGTAGCAGTAGATAAGCATGTATTATGAATGTAGCAGTAGATAAACATGCATTCTGAATGTAGTAGTAGATAAGCATGCATTCTGAATGTAGTAGTAGATAAGCATACATTCTGAATGTAATAGTAGATAAGCATGTATTCTGAATGTAGTAGTAGATAAGCATGCATTCTGAATGTAGCAGTAGATAAGCATGTATTATGAATGTAGCAGTAGATAAACATGCATTCTGAATGTAGGAGTAGATAAGCATGCATTCTGAATGTAGTAGTAGATAAGCATTCATTCTGAATGTAGCAGTAGATAAACATGCATTCTGGATGTAGCAGTAGATAAGCATGCATTCTGAATGTAGCAGTAGATAAGCATACATTCTGGATGTAGCAGTAGATAAGCATGCATTCTGAATGTAGCAGTAGATAAGCATGCATTCTGGATGTAGCAGTAGATAAGCATGCATTCTGAATGTAGCAGTAGATAAGCATGCATTCTGAAAGTAGCAGTAGATAAGCATGCATTCTGAATGTAGTAGTAGATAAGCATGCATTCTGAATGTAGTACTAGATAAGCATGCATTCTGAATGTAGCAGTAGATAAGCATTCAGAAATTCTTCAGCAGCTGTGAATCTTGTTTAAGGGAATCAAGAGGTGCTAGAAATTGAATAATGTAACATGTACATTGTGGCTACTGTAAAGAGAGTACCTAAACCACACAAATAATTTGCAAGTACGTATAATCGAGTTGGTCTATCATTATTAAAATAAATGAAAAGTCAGCACTGCACAGCACTTATAAGTTGCTGATGTTGATTGCTAAACATCATTTTTACACAATTAAAGAAGAATGCTATATAACATTATATCAGGGTATGACATACTTTTCTGAGAGCTATAACTTGATTTTCCAGTCCATCACCTTTGCTCTTAGCATCTTGAGATATTGTCTTATATTTCTCAATCTGTGTTTGTTGACTTTGATTTGTTTTCAGTAATCTTCTTTTTTCATCCTCTGCATCTTTTATCTTACCCAGTAATTGGTTATTTTCTTCATCCTGCATCGAAAAACAAAGAAAACATTACCGATTGGTAATCACATGTGCATCACATGTACACTGCATGTACATCACATGTACAATATATGTATATTACGTGTAGATCAAACCATGTCACGATTGGATGCTTTCTCTCTTAAATCAAAGCATTAGAGAAAACTGAAATGAGATGAGCACTACTTACACGTTTACTGTATTCATGTGATATTCTGTCCAATTCTTCCTGCATAACTCGCACTTTGGCTTTCAAGAACCTTATTGTAGCCTCTGTAAAAATAAGTTTACCTCATGAGTGCTAAAGACAAAATATTGTCACTGTTCACAAATTGAAACCCACATAATTTTTCATAGTTTCCACCAAATTTTGATCAAGACTTGTAGCAAATGGAAAAGTCTGTCGATTTTATCAAAAATTATCAAAAATCTTACAGAAAAATACATAAAATTGAAAAAAGTTTGCATCAGTAGGGAAAATGATGGTGCTGAAAAGCTTAAAGCGCGGTGGTCGTCGCGCAGCGCGTGTTCGAATTTCATGTAAATAAACAATGTATTTTACACACATTGTGTATGTCGCTATGAGTCCCATATCGAACAGGATGCACCACGACGACTGTCGCCCTTTAACAATTAAAATCACAAGTATCCCATTTACAATAGACTGATTGCAGATCTTGAAATTCATGGAAGGCGAATACCTTGATACCCCACCAGCTTAAATGCCTCGATATCCCTCATTCGTTCCATCATCACCAGTTTAAGGCATTTTTTTAGCAATTTTGGTCTTGAAATTGGGTGCCCTCAAAGGTAGACCATGATATACACAGCCACCAGATTGACATGATGAACAGTTATTTGGAGGACTATTATTTAAATTAGTGACTCAAAAACAAAAAATGGTGGATTTGATTATGTTCTCAGACATGACACAAATAACAGAGATTGATCTTTTCACCATCAGACTTTCTCGCCCAAATTTTTCTGCACTTTTTAGCTCCGCTGTCGACTTTGTCGAGCGGAGCTTATCATATGAGTGATTGTCCGTCGTCGTCATCCGTCGTCGTCCGTGTCAATGTTTTACTTTTTCGACTTCTTCTTGAAAACTACAAGCCTGAATGCTTTGATACTTGGTGTATATGTACCTTGGGTAGACCTCTCTTAGGTTTGTTCATTTCATGTTGATATCTTCAATTCTCTAATTTTGGTGAATATTTTTGTCATTTTTGGTAAAAAGTGATATTTTCGACTTCTTGTTAAAAACCGCAAGTGCAATTGCTTTGATATTACATATATAGGTACTACATGTGGACCTCTCTCAGATTTGTTCATTTTGTAATGATATCTTGAATTCTCTAATTTTGGTGAATATTTTTG